GTGTGTGTGTGTTTTTTTTTTTTTTTGCAGGGGTTTATATGGTTTTTCTCGTGCTTGCTTCCGGGATTTCTTTCAGATAACTATGCTATGTCAGACTGATGCAGACTGACTCGCGCCTGAGAGAGCAGGACCGAAAGGACTTGCTTAACATCAACGCAGGGATCGCGCCATAGCTCAAAAGCTTTGTGTGCTTTTTCACCGGTTTGCGGTTCTCAGAGAAGAGTTGCTGTCAGAGACTTTGGGTTTGTATTGCAGAAGTCATTTTCCTCGGTGGCCCAGGCCAAGAACATTGTGGAGGCATGTGCGAAGCACTGCCCAGAGGCCCGACCGGCCGTGCTCACATGTGGGATGTGGTTTTATCCTGTGACACTGCGCCGTCTGCGACTACTAGAGTCATGAACAACATCGATTGCAATTTAGAGGCAAACTAAATTGACCGCGGGGGTGCCAGGCAGTGGTTGGTCTCATCGTCAATCCTGTCAACTCCGTTGTGCCTGCCATGTGCGAGCTGTGGAAGAAGAAAGGCGCTCCCCTTAGACCAGACTTGGGTGCAGCGGGTTGGGAAGGGGCTGCTGGAATCTGCAGACTGCGAGGCCTGAATCCGGCTAAGATTGTCGGGGCTGCAGCCTCAGTTTGTCTTCAGCACTTCGTCAGGATGGGAGGGTTGGGAACTTTTGGCTGCTGTGTCCTCTGGCTTTCGGGAAAGCTCTGGGCTTCTTCCTTTAAATCAAGAACAACATCTGGATTGGCAGCCCAGTGAGCAGATGGATCATAACCGAAGTGGCTGTGTTTCATGAAACGTGCAGGTTACTACTCTGGACGTCGTGCGTGCGGACAAGTTCGTGCACGAAATGACCGGGCTGCCTATGGATGACATCGGCGTGCCTGTCATTGGCTGCTTGGACAAGGGACATGCAGCAGTATGTAGAGACTGGTAAGTAGGAAGGAGGATACGTGGTCGGCAAGCTTGTGAGCTTGCTGGACCAGACCTGCCGTTTGGTGTGCGTAGCCATCATTAGGCATCTCCTCATTGATTTGAGCGAGTAGTGGATTGAATGGCCTTTCCTAAAAGGACCTTGTTGTCTAGATCCACACTTACGTGTCACAATACTCATGATATGCATCAAGACGAGCACGTGCCAACGAGAAGATGGGCAGGGTTGCAAATTGAGAAAAAAAAGCAACTGTGCTATCATGAGGCGGTCATGCCGGCACCACGATCTTGCCTTTGTTCTCCCAGTGTCAGGCTCGTCACGTGTCACCTCTGCACCTTCAAAGTAGATGCAAGATACAGATACGTGCGACCAGGTGGGCAAGACGATTCCTGCAGACAAGATTCCAGACCTCGACAAGAAGGCAAAGTGCTGCGTGAAAATGTTGGGCGGCAATGCAACCAAGCAAAGCGCAGGTGGCAAACTTGACGGTGGATGTCTGTTCAGGTTCAGGATGCTGGCACTGTCGTGGTGGCGGCCAAGAACGGCTGCAGCCTAAATCAGCCGATGTGCCTTTTCTTTCTCGAGCCTTGGTGGCAAGCGCACATGAATTCAGGCAAGGGCAGCGCCACCCTGTCCATGGCCTACGCTGGGGCTCGTTTGGGAAAGGTGCCTTGACATGCCCAGAGCTGCCAAGCAAACATGCCCAGAGCTGCCAAGCGATGAAACTTCCGCTCACCACGGATGCCTCCAACAGTCTGAATGGAAGTTTGCCGATGCCCCTCACAGGCAGTGCTTGCTGGTTTGAACGGTGAGGTCTCTACAGAGAGACTTGGCAGGACATGAGGCCATGCCTGCAACTCCATGCTTCCCCAAAGAACTAGCTCCAGGGCTCTGAATGGCCGTCTACCCTCGTGCTGAGGTGCGCCTATGTTGAGTCCAAGGTCACAGATCTGCCATACTTCGCTTCCAAGGCCCATGCATCCCTCGGGCGAGCACAAAAAGTAAATCTACGTCGAGCATAGCTCCAACGCACACACATGCAAATTGGATTAGAAGAAAGTCCTCACGACACGGAATAAACGCGAAAACATAGAGGGCGTCCATGGTGGCCATGTTGTTGCAGGTGACCTTCGGCAAGCAGGGTGTGGAGACTGTCCACCCTCTTGGAGATCTCAATGAGTATGCGACTGGCCATTAGAAGTTTGCTACTGGATTTGCTGATGCTGAGAGCACAAGAGTCGCAAGAGCATGAATTCCGGCGGCAGACCACCCGGTCCACTACTGTCCTAAACAGCAGGTCCGGCTTCTCCCAGCAAACAAGCATTTGATGATGATTACTGCTGTGAGCTCTAAAGGCCAGAGACTCCTCCGCAGCAACAGCTGTTGAAGCTCTGACATCGTGAATCACTGTAACACAGACTGGAATCCCGAGTCACATGACACATGCGCATACACACAAAAATCATATCCCAGGAGAAGAAGCGGCTGAACGAGTTGACGCCGATCCTGAAGGAGGAGATTGAAGCTGGTCTGGAGTATGCCAAGGACTGCTGGGGAAGATGCAATCTCACAATTAATGGCACCAGAGAGTTTAGAAGCACTCTGTGTGGCTTGTAGCTGCCCTCTGAAAACTAGGATCCTGGACTTAGTCTTAGTTCAGCTCTCTGTCCCACAATTTGTCATGGGTCATTGATTGTTCCGAATTTGACATGCTGCTACATCAGCCTTGCATCCAAATTGCATGCTCCTTACGTGCAGTTGCCAAAGACCGCCGGACGAGTCCAAGCTGGCGCATGGAGTGTGTAGCCTCATGGACCCCTCATCTTGTCGGACTCAATTTGGTAAGGCTCAGCCTTGGGCCTCATACGTTTGGCAACCCTTCTCGTGCTCAGGGCAATGAGTTTGCCAGTGGTGAACCGAGAAGTATGCTCTGAGGGTTTCACGAGCGTAGAATCTTCCAGTTGGTTTGAATTTGAAGGGCTCGCGCATTAAAGTCACACACCCAAACAACATTGGTCGAGACTTCCAGTGACACCCGGTCCGGTAAAGAAAATTGGTAGTCGACAGGCAGAGTGATGTATAGCTTCATTGGGCTTGCGGCCAGAGTTTGTGGGAAGGTTTGCCCGGAGTTGAGAGATAGGCCCCGCGTTAATTACAGACTCCGTTGGCTAAATTCAAACCAACTAGAAACGTTTGAATATGTTCCAAGTGCTCGGAAAGCCACAGCCAAGCCGCATGGCCCAAGTAGTGACTTGTAGTGGCTGGTTACTGGTTGTTGGGCTAACATACTGCCACTGATGGTACGAGTGCACGTTCTGTTGGCAATCAGGCTCATGGCAAAAGGTTTCTGCCATATGCTTGTTGCTAGCATGGGTCAGGCAGGTTTAGAGATGGGCCAGTGTGGTCAGTCTGCGTTGCATGTAGTCTAAACGAGTTTGAAGCTTTGAAGCTGCTGCTGCATCAGAGGCTAAGCGGGTTGGCTGTTCATGGAAGTTTGGTTGGAGACCCAGCAGTCACAACTTCACCGCACATATCAGCTCATGACATGTGCGGGGGCACTACACCTGATCTTTTAAGGCTGTGATTAGGGCCCTGGACACGATGTGTGCCATGTTGATGTCACATGTCTTGTCCTTCTCTTTGCCTTTGCTGGAAGGAGAACGAGTTCGCTGCGTGAGTTTTCAGATCCATTTTCAGGGTTTTCCTATCATCTCTACCAAAAAGTGTCCGAAACTGACCTCGCCGGGCTGGCTCCTTCAGAACGGAGCCCGGCAGTTTTGGTGTTTCGCTTGGTGCTGTCCATCTGACATCATTTCAAAACAGCCGTGACAGTATCGCAGCAACAGCTCTGGTACAGGGCAGACTATCAACCACAGTAGTTCTGCTTGAGAAAGTTTCAGCGGCAAGCCGCTTGTCTAAATGTCCGAGCTATTGTCCCGGAGCTGCTGCGGTGCAAAGGCGTTGAGTTAGAGGGTCGGCCTTCAATTGTTTGTACTACCTTTGAGCCGCAAAGGATGTGCAAAGAGATCGAAAAAGCTTTGCCTCGCCTGCAATGGGTCTCGAGTCAGAGGAAAGGATGTGCGATTCGAGTCCCAGGTCAGGCTGCAAGTGGTTGCAGACCTGGTGTGCAGGTGGGGACTCCGAACTACTGGGCTCCCGAGGCATGAGCGCATTCCACGCTAAGTTCTTGTCATGCCTGCGCTAAGTGGGAAGAGCTCTGAAATGATGTCCTTGTAAGAGCAAACAGCGGATCTGTCATGGGTGTGCGGGGTTTCTCAAGGTATTTCTGACGCGTTGGTGTTCGTAGTTTATCTTGTGAGCCTGTTGAGGTTGCCAATGCCTCTGCGGGTGGCTACGATGAAAGGGTAGCCCGACAAGTTGATGTTGTCTCCGGCTTTGAATTCCAATCTGGCCGGGCTGTCTTTTTGTTGTGATGTCATTGCAATGTCATAGAAATAAGACTTCTCGGCTTGGCGCAGCTCTCTGCCCAGCTTGTCGTCAGCAGAAGAACCAGACACTTATCGTTTCATTTCAGAAACAGGTAAGCCTGTCTTTGAGTCCTTGTAAGGCTAGAATCAATTTCACATGAGCAGCAACTGAGATTTTGTTTTCTAGGTCCGGGTGTTTATCAGAGTTTGGTTAGAGTTGCCAGTGTAAACTTCAAGATTTCATACAGGTCCCTTACTCGCAATGAGGACGTGTGGCCTTGCCTTTGGGACGGTCTCTTGAAAGATATCGCAAGTTTGAAAGTTTGCTGTATCAGAGGCCTTGACCTTAGTCTTCCAGCCTCAACTGCTCGCCCTCCTTTGGCCAGATTGATCTCTGGAGCTTGGGGGTAATCCTCTATGTGCTGGTGGAGGGAGTGTGGGGTCCTCAGTGTTGATCAAAGCTTGGCCCTCCAGAAAATTTAGTGGCACGCATTTCCCCGGCTCGCAACTGATCTGCAGCGTGCAGCATCATAAGTACCAAGAGGCCTGGGAACCGTTGGTGCGTCTTTCTGCATGCGCCCTGCTTCAGCTAAGCTTCCCAGGCTTCCGTTCCCGAGCCGCTGCAAAGTTCCGAAGCTCGTGTTCCAGGAGCGCAGATCAAAAAGCAGATATGTAGCTCTCATGCAACCCGCTGCAGCGGATGCATTGCTCTCCCCTCACGTTAACTGGAATACAAGCCGGTAGCACAATTCCACTTTCAGCATGACGGACGGCCCTAGGACCAACGAGACCTATAGCCCTCATGTAACCTATGTCCAGTGCCCATCAAATTGCGGTTGCGTAGTTGCTGAAGCGGCAAATTTCTGTTGGGCTGCAGGAGGACTGTAAATTGAGTGCAGGCCTGAGAGGGAGGAGGTGCTTTTTTTTGATCACTGCGACGATGTCCAAATGCTATGGCAGTGGTGTTCTGGCGGGAGCTTGCAGCAAGTACAAGCTGGGACCTAAATCTAAGTTTCGTCTCTGGGATCGGTGTAGCGCGCAGAGGCTAATTACAGGGCGTGAGCCAAGGTCACCTGGCCAGACATCTGACCTGGCGCCTCATGCAGATCAAGCCGGAGGCATTGTCTCAGCCACGCATGCCAACTTGTGGAATCACTTGCTTAAATCAGACCACTGCGGCAGGACCGCTTATCGCTGGACGACTGCCTCGTACACCCATGGGCGAGAGCCCCAGCCATCGGAGACTGATGGCCTCCCAAAAAAAGGCACTCTTCTGACGTGACAATGCCCGGAGAATTTGATGCGTGTCCTGAGGTGACGAACTCTTCGTCTGGGTTGGTGGGCCATGTGGTTCAGAGTTGACCTCAAGAACCGTCTGCCATGTGTCACTGCCAAGCGCTGTCAAGCAGTCAGGTGCGAGGCAGAGTCGAGCCATGTGACGTAGTGACGTAGTGGTTGCCACTGGAAGCCGCCTGGGTGGAATGCTCCGAGGCTCTGTGAGTCCCATTGCCGTCATCAGCGCGGGGAACGTGAGCGCTGCGCAGTGCTACCACACGACCCGAAGAACGACACGAGCTCAGAGCAGAGTTGCAGAGCACAGCCGGGCATACCAGTTCCGAGCGTGACGAAGCCTTTGCAAAATCTGTTGCAAATGGTGTGCACTGCCTTAGCTTGGAGGTTGGGAGGCTCCGCGGCAGACTCGGATTTGCCAGAGGGCTGGAGGTTTTTCTTCGTCTGCAACACATCAGTCAGAATGCGCTGCCGTTCTTGAACTGTAAGACTTCGTAAGATAGATCAGAGAACATGCACGGCGTGAAGACAAGCCTCTATCCTGATTCTACAGGTGACAGTTTTCAGTTTCAATTTGCTTCTAAGGCAAAAAGCTGCAGGAGCTCACGCTGAGCCACAAATACCCCATGCATCTGCGTGCACGAGACTCGCAAAAGGAGGTTCGCCCGACTTTGGAGCTTGACAGAGCCTGCATTTGAAATTTGAACTGCCGGATGCTTGTATTACTGTAGCTGCTTGTTTGCGAGGTGGCGATGTGCTTCAGAAAAGCAGATGACCAACACAGCCCAGATCCCAGTGGTCATAAAGGTTTTGCAAGCCGTTGGACCAAAGGTAGCTTGTAAAAGCCAGTCGGTCCCCCGTCTGACACCTTTCCAAACGTGGGCGTTGATCGCATATTTCTCTTTTCATCAAGCATGTGGTAAGTCGTTAGCAGTTAACACAGCAGTGGCTGCTGTTTCGCTCCGACTCTAGTGTCATTGTAGCCTTTGTCTATATGACAAGCATGCCAGAGAGCACCCCTATCGAACAACTCCGAAAGCTTTTGGAAGTTTGATGAGCTCTAACGTCTTTGAGCTTTTTTGGCAAGAGCAAGCCAAGCGGCGGAGCTTTCCTGCGCATGAACATTGTGTCAGCTTTCATGGGAGGAGTTTCTTTGGCAAAGCCTTAGAGTGCAAAGACAGTTCGCTGGAGGTGTTGATGCAGCTTGGCAGGCCGAAGCTGTTTCAAGCAACAGCAACTTCGGGCGGAGTGCGTATGCGTTGGTTGTTGCTACACTTGCCCAAGAGTTTCCCTTGAAAGGAGGGAAGGCTGCTTGCGGCTGATGAGCTGTTAAGCTGAAATGCCTGGTCAGGAGCTGCTGCTTGCTCTGAAGCCCGAGTTCCGAGGGAAGCTCGAAAGCCGCGAGGTGCCGTGGGATGTCTCGCTTCCGTGACAGGATTCTGTGCTGGACCGTCAGGGTATGGATTGCAGGTGGCCGTGGATGCGAGCGCGGTCTGCTGCGAGGGGCGCAGCAGCCGGCAAAGCATGGGCTTCTCAGAGGCGGGGTGATGCAAGTTTTCGGTACATGCAGAGGAATCCGCCGAAGCCAGGAAAAGATCCACCAGCAAGACCTAGAGCTAGAAGCCCTCATGGCTGAGTTTCCAGATAATGTGGAGGCCTGGTTCTGCTTATCTTCCGTGGGTGCGTCCAATGCGCTACAATTGCAAACAGTTCAGTGATGTGAGAGCCAGGCTGCCACGGGTAGCTTTGCTCCAGCTCCCAGGCATCTGGAGGCCGAGACTTGGACCAGTAGCCTCAACCTGCCAATCAGCAAGCCAAAATGTTTAATTGCTTCGTCCAGTTTGCCCGAACCCTTTTCGGAACTGTCTATGCGCACAATGCGCTTGCATAAGTAACTTACATGTAAACGGGCTGGAGCTGGAAGTGGCTTGACAGTTGGTGTTTTGTAGCTAAGGAAGACCCTTGCAGCCCGTGGCTTTCCGATTTTGTTGGGCTGCCTATAAAGGAAGACTAGCAGCTGCTAATCATTGCTAATCCAGATCTCCAGGCCTTATCCCAATCGATTGAAGGCATGACAGGTTTCTGCAGACCGGATGAAATTGATAGATGCCAACCAAGAAGGCTGTGTCTCAGCGCAGGTCGCGCTGAAGAGTGGGCAGAATAGCCTTTGGCTGCGGCTGGAGCTGCCGTGTGGCCCTTACTCGTGGATGAGGCACAGAGATGAAAGCACCTGCCTTCATTCAGCCTGCCGGCGTCGGCTGGTTGAGGCACACGTATCCTGAAGAAAGCCGTTGACTTGGTGTGACAGTCAGCAGATGAAACTTCAAAGCGACACAGAGATGCCAGAATGCCCCCAAACATGATGGTGATGTGCCTTGTCCCAGCTGCACTCAGACCGACCACCGGAGCTGACGCATATGGTGGTGTCCAAACCTAAGACAGGCAGTGCTCAAAGAGTTCAGCTAAAGCCCGAGGATAATTCCTTGCCGATCGCTAAGGCAGTCGCAAGACTCCCCGTGGTCTCTTCAGAAACAGGAGCCTCTGCCGGCGCCTAAACCTGCGCTCTTCCTCGTAACATCTCCACCCTACAGCCTACAAGAGATTGGCTCTTCTCCCTGTCCTGACCTAGGCGGAGCCAGATCCAGGACTTCATACGTGACCCTCCTGCACGTGCTCCGCCAGGTGCGGGCAGTACGGTTCATGCCAAGGCATGTTACGAAGCCCTTTCCCAGACCCAACTAGAGAACTCCCTGTGGACTGCAAGTTATCGAACATCAAACATGCAAGCACGCACTTTCTAACAGCATTAGTGAAGCGTCACACCCCCGCGTTGAAGGAAAAGGCCTGCAGATGCTGGTACGCTTGGCCCTCAGCACATCCTGAGCGGAAACTATGAGGCTCTGAGAAGGCATTATTGGGATTCATGAGCTCCCAGCTGCATGACTTCACCTTGAAGCGTAGCGGAGTAGCAGAGTCCTTCAAAGACTTGACGTATCACTGGCTCCAGTTGCCCGTGCGCCGCTGCAAGCCTAAGCTCCACAGCATTGTGTAGGCTCAGAACTTGAACCTGCAGGCCTGCTAGAAAAGGTATGGTGCAGCTTGAATCTAGAGTGATGAGCTGATGCGCCGCATTGGCTTGAAGTGTCTGGGCAGCATAAACACTGCCCAGGTTGGCTACAAGAACAAATCCTGGATGGTCCAAATGGATTGATGCAGCCGACGGAGCCCTCAGAACCGCTTCCTGGCTCCAAGAAATGCTCAAAAACTTGCACAGGCCAGGCTTTCCATCCCACCAAGGTCTCCAATGCAAGCCGAGCTAGAGCCCGAGAAGGATCCGGCCAATGAAGCGTCAGATGGCCAGAGCCTCATGGAGTGCTGAGGTTAGGCTTGTGCAGAGTCTCAAGAAGTCAGAAACTTGGATTGATCGACCTCAAGGTTCAGTCCCCGCCACGCCATCCACTGCTTCGCGCGGAGTGCAGTTTGCCCGTATTTCTGTCATTGCCATGGGCCCAGCGGTCTGAAGAGTCCGGTCATACTGGTACGTGCTTTGGTCCGTGGCGGTTGCAGAGCGAAAAAAAACATGCGCAGGTGCACCATCATGATGAGAAGATGGATGAAAAAGGCAGAGCATCTAAGCACCCCAAACAAACTGACCTGCAGGGGTGCATGCTCCCTTCACAAGCTGGAGGCCTGGCATCTGACCGGCTACGGCCCAGCCTCCGCGGAAAGTCGGGACCTTGGGAAAATCACCTGAGAGGCCACTCACGACGCGGGCCTTCCACGCTACATTGCACTTCCAGCTTCCAAGGGCTTTCTTCCCGCACCTGAAGATGAAGTTTCCCCAGGCCTCGCCATGGTCTCACGTGCTTCATATCATACAAATACCTAGATGGATCAGGGACGCCAACTCATGACAAAGCTGGATTCCTGTTGAACAGTGTCACATTACAATCTATGCAGCACACAGAAACAGTATGTACAGTCTCACAAGCTATTCATACAAGTTCGCATTTGGACGCAGGCGCGTACGTGCTGTCTCATGTAACCCCCAGCATAAGCAGCAATGAAGGCAACTTGAGAAGCTAAATGCATCTGCTGGCAAGCATGGAAGAGGTTGCACGTTCACTAGCCTTTGGTTCTTCTTCGGAATTCGTCAAATTGCAGTATGATGCATCGCTAGACCAGCATTCCTGTAGTCACCTATCCCGGACCTTCTTGCATTCAACAGTTGTAGTACGTAGTAACCTCAGTATCAGCATCAGCATTGCGAGCATTGTCCCTTCAGATCACTGGCTTCTTGAGCTTTGGAAAGCCCGCCCTGCTGCTGCCAAGCTGCACCAGACGTGGCATGGGAAGTAAGGTGCTTTTCCCTTGAGATCTGCCACTCGAAGTGCGCCATTCAGGCTAGCTGAGGGCCCGGAGACTGACCTGCACAGGCTCATTGCCGAGGACGGCTTATCCAAGCAGTCAGAAGCTTGCAACTTCCAGTCTGCTTATTGGCAGGCCAACAAGTTTCCGAAATGGTGGGATGTGACGGTCTCGATGCATGTGACTCAGGCTGTGAGATTTCAAGTATGGGAGGACCAGATTAGCACGAATGCATCAGATCAGCTGACTGAGGTTTGACCGTCAAAAAGCGGTGGACATCAATACCTGGCGAGCCTTCCCAGATTTCAGAAAGATCAAGACAGAGGACAGCTTGGACGAGAGCTGGTTGGGCTCGTGGTCTATCCTGCAGCTGGGTGTAGAGGACATCGACACCACCCTGAAAGGCTTGCAAGCGGAGTGAGTCGCCTACATTGCCTCACAGGGAATTTGAGCAGAAGAACCCAGTGTTCCGAGGCACTGCCGGCTCTACGAGGTGCGGCGAAGACAAGTCTAGCCCGCTGAGACGAAGGTTAGGCTATCCTTCGGCCATGTCCGCAACCTACGGCCAGGACGCGCTCGTGGGCACAAACTTGGACCCCAGGAAGCGGGAAAAGGCGGAAAAGGCTCGCAAATCGTCGAAGAAATGACAGGACCAAGATTCTTGTTCTCAAAGCTGCAAGGTCAATTGTGAGGTCTGGTGCGTGTGTATGCTCTATGCGCAGAGACTTTCTCAAAAGCAGCCTTCAGCTTGGATCCAGGACCTGAACAGTGTGCAGGTGGCCCGGGCTGGAATCATAAGGAAGACATGCTGCATCTCTTCCATTACAAATTCGGCAAAACAGACCTGCAGCAATAGTTTGAAGCAAGAGTATCACATTCCTGGTCTAAGCAATGCCACATGCTTAGTGCAGCCTAGGTCCGGGATTTCGTCGCCACGTCTTAGCTTCTGAGTTTCACCTTCGAGCAAGCTGCCGAAGACCTAATGTTCAGGGCAGCAGGTTGACACAGCAACGCCTTTTTCCCCTTGTCTCCAATTGCCTTGGGCGACGTACGTCGGCCTGGGCTTTTGGGCTTAGAGATGATGTTTGCTGATGTTTGCGTCCTGTCAGCCTGCCCCGGTCGATCTTGGAGCCCTCAATCCGAAACGGTCTCTTTTCTTCAAAAAGCTTGAGCACCTGCATCCAAATCCGCTTGAGGACTCCAACGGGACGACGCTGTGCATATCTTGTATAGTTAGGATGCGCAGATCTTAGCATCGTCTTAGATCTTTAGGCATATTGAAGGTGCAGAAGGAAAACCGTTTCGGGCATCGGGCACAGATAAGAGCCGTGCAAGCATCCTCTCGCTCTTAAATACTTCAGCTCGACTTCTTGCCTTACTAAACTGCTCCATTTCATGCAGAAGCGGCTTGCAGCAGGTCTCTTAAAGGCAAGGAGCAGGACTCCGCCCGAGCACAGTTTGGTAGTCCGGGGCTCAGACCTCACGCCAGAGTGATACCGAGCTGTAGCAGCGATAGGATGAGGGGTAGCAAGGATGCTTGCTATTCCAGAAGATGAAGATGCAAGATGTTTGTAATTGTAGCGGCGGTCCGCAACAGGGCTTCCCTCAAAGCTGCGAACAGTTGGACAGTTGCTACGCCGCCGTGAAACCAAGCCGAGATAGGGCGCTTGATACCATTTCATCCACCCTAGCAATCGAATGAATAGGTTTCTGACGGATAAAGAGAGCACACCTTGCAATTATCTAATGAACACCATGACCCGCTTCAAGAAGCAGCCGAAGTCAGCTTAGAAGCGCTGCTGGCGCAGCTGAAGATGAGTTACGCAGTTCAGCTCGACAAGATCGCTCAGAGCAATGCGGCTTCGGCACTCAGGACTGCAGCCGAGCAGAGTGACTGTCTCGCAGGCATGCAGGGATGCTCTCCCAGGAGACTTGAGCGAGTGGAGGGCCAACTGCAATCCATGGCAGATGGAGCAACAAGCCTTCCACCAGAGGAGAGCTGCAACATGCAGCAGGAACTTTAGGCCAAGCAAATGAGAAACCGCAGGTAATGAGGCATGATGCTAGGACATGCGTCGCGAGCTCCAGTCGCTTCAGAAGCTGGTGCTGGCAATGCCGGCAGAGAAGACGCTTCAGAGCAGGGCATCTTGGCCAACCTAGCTCTGATTCATCCGGTGGTCTGGACAGTTTGTTCGGATTGGGGGGCATCTATGATTGCATACTCGTCCTTGGAGAAGTAGCAGCTACATCCTAGGAATGGAGAGTAAGCTTGCAATGATGAGAGATGAGAGTCGGCTTGAGGCCCGCTCCCTGGTCGACCGCTTGGAACAGCTCAGTGAGGGCAAGGCAAGCCATGCAAGCCAAGCAAACCAAGGCCGGGCAATGCATGACACAAGCCACAGGGTTCTCACAAAGGGGGCCAGGAGACCATGCCATGCCTAGCAGCAGCTCAGCGGCTAGCAGCTAGGCCCTAGCTTCCAGCTGCAGGCTCAGTGAGGGAGGCCGCGCAGCGATCCGTGGAGTCCCAAGAGCTAATGCCATCAGTGAAGCACGTGGCTTCTTTTCTGTGGCTTGGCTCTGATCAAGGGTACTTCGGAATGTAGCTCTCCTTTCCTGCCCACAGTGAGGCAGAAGCCTGAAGAGGACGTCCGCCAACTGGCGGCCGAGGCGAGCGCTGTTGGCAGCTGTCTCGGTTCGGTTCTTGCATGCTGCAGCCACAGCTCACTTACAGGGGACGCTTTCTGAAGAGCTCTCCAAGTATCCGGTGCTGGCATGTGATTCTGGATCTGCAGTTTTTCTGCGATCCTGGGGAGAACAGGCCAGGTTACCTTGCATTCCGGCTCAACGCACCTTGACGAAGCACCGCATGAAGCTTCCGACCTCTTGAGTTCCCTCTGAGCTTTGAATGAAGCCTCAACAAACTGGTCTCGGGGCTTTGAGTAGCCAAAGCGATACACGGAAAGGACGATGCGGCGGAGAACGAGCGTTGCCGCCTGGCCGTACTGGAGATGACGGCAGCAGCGACGAACATTCAGATAATCACAGAGCTCATGGACAGGCACGTGGCGGCTGATCAGGACTGCAGGGCTCACAGTAAGACCTCAGCATGTCGCCGTCAGCGGCCCCCCCCTGGCACGGCATACCAGCCTCCTCGAGGTTTTCACGCACGGTCATCAGTGCTGGACAGTGTGAGTTCAGACACAGCACAATAATCTTAAAGTCTAAGCAGAACCACTATGGCCAAAACTTCTCCCATGAACATTGGGGTTCAGGGCTAAGGATTCGCCTGAAAATGCAGAGATGACCAGATCTGCCTACACCACAGGAGAACCTGAATGCACTGGAGCAGCAAGTGGCCCACACCAGAGACGCCACACAGCAAGCTGTGGGAGCCTTAACTCCTTTCAGTCGACAGCCGCGGCAGCCACGCAACGGCCGCACCATGTGTGGAGGGATTCTGCTGGAAGTGCTCAGGAGTAACCGCCGGTCGAGGATACTTTTAGGCCCAATAGTCCCAGCCGCCTGGCAGATGGTGTCCCCATAGCCCATAGCTAAGTAGTCTGCTGGCACGTACTGTCGCTTGCGGACGTCCCAGGTCATCAACCTGGCAGAAGCTGCTGGCCAGAAGCAGTCGCACCTCAGCGAGTGAAGCCATCGAGATGTAAAGCCATCAAGATGTTTCAAGACTGTAGGATTGTATAGTAGGGTATGATCTGCATGTCAGCTATAGTCATGTCTAAACTCCTAGTATCTCCTTTAATAACCCCCATAGTACTCATGCCTACAATCCCCTTTATAGCCAGGCTGTAAGGAGTTTAGAGTATGGCTCATGTGACAATATGCCTATGAAGTTATGGCCGCAGTTGAGCTCTTTAGGAGGCCCCAGCAAGAATTAGGATCGATTGCTGGAGTTTATGTTCAGATCTTGTCGTCAGTTTCCCACTGGTGCTTAGTATTCCCCAGATAATCAAGGTATGATAACGTGCCTTAGTCCCTACCAAACCCCAGTACGGTTTTCAGGCCCTTGACTTAACTTGTGCGCATGTGGATTAGACGTATGCAAAGGCAGTGGGTGTTGCCGTCCTTGACCCTGACGCTCGTGGGTGGCGTTGCCATGCTGACGTGCCCGGTTGCAGCGGCAGCTTCCCGAGGCCACGTTCCTGTGTTGGAATCCCCACTGATTTGAGAAACAGGTAGCAGAAGTTGCATGTTGTTCGCAGGTGTTTTTCTCCTGGGCAGCTCCATGTTCTCCTACAGCACCCTTAGCAGCATGCAGCAGGCGATCATCAACCAGCTGAAGGATGGGCTATACTGAACATATTAGGCAATTCTCACAGAGTGCTTGGGAAGAATGTCTGGGATGCAAATTCTTTGGGCACAGGAGCAGCTGCCTCGTGCCTTTCAGCCGCTTCCAGATCAGGAGGCCACCCCACGGGTAGCACCGTACTCGTAGGTGTCGAATTGGCCCGGAGACGATGTGGGCCTGGAGTGATTCCAGATTTGAGAGTGGCCCAATGCGAGCAGCAGCGTAGGAATTCCTTCGTGACTCGCTTGAGGCGGCCATGATTCGCGCAGGCAGTGAGGAAGCATGCAACAGGCGCGACTGTCAGAAAGTGAGAAATGCCGGTTCAGATCCTGTTTTGGCAGGGTGTTTTTGTGCAAGAAGCATGACCTTCAAACCTCGGCATTGGATCAGGCTCCAGAGAAAGCTTGACGAGCCTGGAAGGTGGAAAGAGGACCTTCCTTGCATGTACTGTAGATGGTTCTTCTGAACCTAGAGTGGGGTGAGCTAGAATGTGTTCGCAAGTGGATTTCAAGAAATGGCCCTGCAGCACATGCTGGACCACATTTCACAGCCCCTACGAAGAGCAATCGGGCGTCATGGGTCGGCTCTTAAAGTCAGAGGGTAGTGGCTTGCCACAAGTGTGAGGAGTCTATCTTCCAGCGCATGAAGAAGACTGCCACTAAGCTGCACTTTGCATTCATTCAAGCTTCAGTTTCTGGACCACAAAAACCTTCTGCGGAGACTTGCCAGGACCTCACTTCACTTCGACGCGAGGCCCAGACGTATTTTTGCATGCACATGTCCGTGAACTTCCTTTCTTATCATTTCTCATTCAAGGTGTGCCAGAGCTTCGAAGTCCGTTCGGCAAAGTCGGACGTGCGGGCAGAGGGCAAGGCTTATGCTGTTTCCTTTACTGCACCGTTCTCAGACCGAAGCCGCGCCTTCTGCCAGAATCTGCTGCTTCCAGACGTGGCTGTGCACTGTAGGTGGCCATGGCCCCTGACCAAGCCTTCCGACTGCTGCAGCGCTTCGTGGCGGCAGGATCTATTGATCCTGGGTGCAAGGTGCCAATTTCCATTCTTCTACCTGTAACATTCATCAAATGCAACCACCAAATGGGCCTTGCAGCCGTTCATGCGTAAGAGGCTGGTGAACTGGCAAGGTGATGTGGTCAAGGCCTGTAAAAGCTGAAGAGGGCCCGCTGCACTCCATTCGTCTCTCGGCGTCAGTGGCGAAGTTTGTTGATGTGGGATGATGTGAGGGGGTGAAGGGAGTGTAGTCCAATACCACATTGCCAAGACGCTGCATCGCCATGAACGCAGCATCAGTCGGCCTGCTAGCTAGCCAGCAGCAATGCTGTCCCTACAGGTTTTGGAATGGTGAAGTTCCCTATGTCTTGAATACCTGACTCTACAAGCAGCAAGAAGGACTTGGCATCGCTGCACCTGCGAATGCTCCAAACCGATCTACACGGGTTTTTGTCATGTGCAATCTCTGAATGCCAGCCCATCAGTGTCCTCCTGTGTCAGGCTACCTGGCCTTCACAGATTGGTTCGTGGGCCGTTTCTCGGTCAAGTATTACTAAATGCTCCGTGCGCGTTTTCACATCGGCCACTGCATCATCCTCATCTCTTTATGCGCGCAAACTGCAGGTGACTTCGTTTGCACTTGCTTCTGCGGCGAAGTGCCGCGAAAGGATGTTAAGTGCTACTTGGCCAGCCCTCAGCCCTCAGCAAATCTCGGCAATGCGCATGTCAAGCTGAGCAGGGAGCTAAGGCTATGCCATGGCAATGACATCCCTTAGCAACTGGGACTTCAGCAGCTGAGTGCCTGGTTTTGAGCTGGGCCTGAAGTGAGCCTCCCAAGGCGATGACCTTCTCAAAGCCGAAGGCCTGCCGAAGACAACCCCAGGCTCGGAGCTTTGAGGGTTTCAGGATAGGGTCTCTTGCAAACGGCGAAGATCACTTGCATGCAGCTTGGCAAGAGGCTATGGACATGGGCGAGTCTACGAGCCTTGAATCAATGCTTGCAGTCTAGGCTACTGTTCCTCTACCAAGGTGGAAGGGACAGAGGTGCTGGTTAAGTCGCTTAAGATGATTTTTTGGGGTGCTTTCGAAATCTTGTGCAAGGATTCAAGCTGTTACATATGCCAAGGTGAGCGGTGTGCGCTTCACTGCTACACCGCAGGGCGGGACGAAGGTCGAGGTAATGGCTGCTCCTTGTCATGCCTGGATGGGATGCGATTATCTCACGTTTTGAGCTAGCGGTACTTGTGGCCCGTTCTCGTGATTCGCAGGCCAAGGAGGACTTAGATTCAGGTGAATGTAGTGTCGACACAGTGCTGGTGCCTAGCCTAGAAAGAAGATCTGACTGAGTCTGGCAGGTGCTGAGGGGTCCCCACAGTCCTTTATCTGGCAGAGTCCTGTTGGGCCGAAGAAATCGCTGGCAGATACAGAAGACCAAACTGGCCGCCAGCGCTGTGTGGGCGGGGGTAGGAGTCGGGCTCACAACTACTGGTCAATACTGGTCAGAGAGCTGATGGCCGATCGCGTTATCCTGGCTGTGGCGTCGGCTCTGCAGAAGTTCATTACGGTTGGCTTTGCCTGCCGGTTTAAATTAGGTTCTACGAAGCCAGTATGAGGACTTGGATCCAAACGCGCCGTTTGTGTACTGGACTCGGCTCGTCGATAAGAGGATTAGGAGACTCGGCTGCGAACCAGCTCTGCGGCAGCCTGCAGGCTTTTTTCCTGTCTGAGCAAACTTCAACTTGAGCTCCGCACCCCGCCGGTCTTGTCAGAGCTCAGGAACCATGCTTGCGATGTGGCTTGGCTGCTGCAATGCGAGCTGGATGCAGGTGCCAGCCATGTGTAGTACAGCTCCTTCCAAGTTGGCTTGTTTTAAGTTACAGGCCCGGGACAGGCGGCCTGAGGCAATAGCTAGAAGCGGAAATCAGTTTGGAAATGGTGCCCAAAACTTGGCATCGCAGCAAGTCTGCAGATGTGTAAAGCACAAACTGCTGCCGTGTTAGTGCGTGTGGCCCCAGCTCTGTTTGCTCAGAGCCTGGTGGTGCAGAACCGTTCTCTTGACCTCTGAGATTGTACAGAAGAGGGTGGCTTTGAGCTACGGTGCAGATGTGCCGGAATGTACCGCCATACTTGCGCAACATCTCGCCAAAATGGCTGACCATTCCATGATGCCCAGTAGTTAAGAAACGTTTAACAGTTTAGCAGATTTGCTGCCGACATTAACCCTCCCAAAATGAAAGCTTCTAGGTGGGAGGCCTGGTGGCCGCGTGGCGCTGAGCGCAGCTGGGAAGATCTGCAAAGAGATTTAGACCTCATCGCGATTGCCAAGTGGATGTAGGGCCATAGGGTAAGGTAGAGCAGCCAATGAGGTACCGGGAGACGCAAGGGCTTCAAAGGCAGTGGCTTTGCACGAGGCCTGGGTCGCTGAAGTCTCTTAAGAACCGCGCTCGAAGAACTGCACTTCACACCACTTTTGAAATCGCTTCTGAATTCAGGTTGACTTTCCAAACCGCACCAGAAATCAGGAAAAGCAAAATTAGCCACTGGCAGGATATCTGAAAGATAGCAGGATGCAGGTTTCTAGCTTACAGAATCCTGTAACCACTTGACTAGGTCAGGGGCTACGCGGATGCTGACAAAAAACCGCCGAATCACGATCCGAAACTCGATCTAAACGCCACAGGCCTCCCTCAGCGGATCTGACGCATCCTGGGCGGAGACCCTGACGGAGCGTCCGGCGGACACCCTCCCCTGGGAATGGCAAAAAATCGAGGAAAACCTGGACAATCCCAGTTGTTTATTTCATTTCTCCTAGGGGAGAATTCTGAAATCTGGCAGGGGCCCTTGCCCCCGAAATTGCGAAGTTCCAGGCAAACACTGGAGATACCTTTTTTTGGCTCTGTTTGTATGCATTTTTGAAATGTCTGGCAGAGACCCTGGCGACAGAAACCTGGAAACTCAAAGTTTCTTGAAGTTCGATTTGCCGTTTGTGTTAGTTCTTCACAAAGCCATTTCACTTTCAGGTTCAGAAACATCAATTCCAGACACTTTGAGAGCCAGCATATCCAAATCAAGATCACTTCTGAATTCACTTTCCGAATCCAAGTTGACTTTCAGATTAAGTTTCAAAGTCAGATTCAAAAGGTTGAAGGTTTAGGGTTCAGGGTTTTGAAGCTTAGAAGTAGCCGTCCCTGGGCTCAGTGGTCGCTACTGCAGGCATGCAGTGGTTTCCATTTTATGTTCCATTATCCCTATAATATACCCCCAGTATATACCCTATAACCCCAATATATACCCGATAATCACTATGTAATCCCTATAGTTTCCATTTTCCATTCTCCCTATAGAGATTATACCCCTATGTTCCCTAACATCAAGGTGCCACTCTGCCAGGTCAGGAGCAGCGGCAGCTTGTCAAGAATACGGGCGAGAACGACAAGCGACTTGACAGGCCTGGGAACCCTGGGAACCTTGATATTAGGGAATGTAGGGGTATCATATAGGGGTTATATAGGGATAATGGAAATAGGATGATGGAAATAACATGGAAACTACTACTTTGAGTGCATCGACCGGAGCATCTTGCCGAAACGAGACATCATTGTGCCCTGATCCAAATTAGCTCTCAGGTTCATCCAGATCAACAAGCTCGATGATGACTGCACCAAGGCCAATGTTGGATTGGCCATCTGCTTTTCATGCTGCCTGCTGAAAGATGGGCGAAGCGTCTTGCAGCGCAGGTTCTTCAGAGGCACTCGAAGGAGGTGCAGGCAATTACTTTGGTGTGTAGCCGGTTGCTTGCCAAAAAGCATGTGTCATTTCCGGGGTTGGAGATGCGGGAAGCATCCAACCAAGTTGCCGAGCCTCCTGTGCTAGGCCGCTGTCATTGACTGTTACCTTCCTGACCTCACCATCAAAGGCAATCATCCCAATAATGATGGCAGGACACTGGCACGTGTAACTCAGTGGCGTAGCATGAAGCATATACCTCGGCACTGCAATCCTTGCAGCCGACTAGGACATTCAATCCGAGTGCTGTCTGAGCCTCAGAGAGCCTTCGACAGTTTGCTCCATTCCATGATATTCGACTAAGTTTCAAGCTTCCTATGCCTGCCAGATCGTTGTCTCCAAAGTGAAGAGAGAGCGCGAGAAAATTTTGGACAAGTCCACTCATGCCGGGGACTCGGCTCCGCTGGCCAGCGCTTGCCAGTTGACTGAAACTCTAATGATGTCCTCACTGCATTGCCTCCATTGTTGAATTGGAAGCTTGAAATCTGCATTCAGGGCATACGCCTGAAGGAATCCCAGCAGGCGGGGGACGCAAGTGTCAGGTCAGGACAGTACGACATCAGCTCATACTGAAAGATTTGCGTGCATTCGGATCATGAGGCATGTCCATCCAAGTACATGTGCTGATTTTTAGGGTTAAGGCCATGGTGCTTGGAATAGAACGTTTTCCAGTGTACACGTCCACTTGAAGGCCCCTCCCAGTGAACTATTGAGAAAGTCCACATCAACATCATCAACATTATTCTGCAGGGGCAGCGGGAGCAGTCGAACGGCATGGATGGTAAATAGCAACAAAGCCATGGCGGGGATAGGCTACATGGGGGGTTGCGAGGTGTTGAAGCCGTGTAGGGAGTAAACTAGCATTCGCTTCTTTTCTCAGCAGAGGCATGTCTATAGGGCCTCTCTGTAGCCGTTGCGTTTTGCCTCTTTTTTCTGCGAGGCGGGCTCACGCAGCCCTGGAGCCTCACCCAGGCGGCGGAGGCACTTGGGATCGCTTGCAACGGGGATTTAGGGGCTTTTGGACTTGCTGTGCTGTTATTAAAGCATCAAAGGGAAAAGAACGGCGTTGCGAGAAGTGCAGCCCAAGCAGCTATTTTTCCAGAGTTAAATTCCTTAGCGCAGGGAACTGACCTCCTGTCGCCTGAGACTCACAGATGAGAAGCAAGTAAACTAACGAAACGTTGCATCAGTGGAATCTTCACACTCAGTCAGAGTTTCTGACAAGCGCAAATCTTGACTAATCTCGCGTTGTTCTGTAGCAGGCTTGGTGCTTCTTTCTGTAAATGTAAGGCTGGGTTCTATGAGTGGTGCATTTTTTGACATTTTGGGCCTAGCCACGCAAGACGATGCATATTGAAGTGCCTCCCCTGCTTTCATACCGTACCAATACCTGCTACATCGCCAGCACAGGAGCTCTTCTGACGATGACCGCTCCAGAAGCAGGCACCAGATTTAAGTTACCAAGCATCCAAACGTGGACATTTGCTAGATCCCGTGGTTTCGTCAGTATGGTATCCTATGGTACTCGGAAAGTAAATTCAGTTCCTGAACAGCAGCTCAGCTTGTCAGAAGCTGTCATCTGGCCCTTTTCCTTTTCCCAAGATGGGCCAAAGCAGGTCAAGTCACCGTCGCAGCCGGTCAGAGGCCTTGCGAGTTATTTTAGCATCAGGGAGACAGGTACTTCAGTTCCAGCGCCGATCTTGGGGCTTTCAGCTCTCTTGAGTACATGCCCCCTTCTGGATGAAGCAGGACAGCTCTTCTGGGAGATCTCAGCGGCCGCAGGCGCAGTGTCAAGTAGCTGTGCATCTACCTCGTCACACACTATCCTATGCTCTGCATGCTGAAGCTTGCTGTCTGCGCGAGCCAAGCGCATCACACTTCATTTGGCGTCTGGCGTACTGGATCAGGGATCTATAGATTCATCGAGCCAGAGTATGCCCCCCAACCGTGAGCAGATTATAACAATCACCCAACCTGACCTTGAATGGGTGGTTCATGTAGACACGTCCCCGAATAGCCTTACTTCAGGCTTTGGACTAACTAGCCCGACCTAGGGATGGATGGTCAAATGCCGAGACTGGCCTGCAGCAGGGTGGATCATGGGCCTGTGGCAGGGGATTCCACTTGAAGAAACGACACCCGGGCCACTTAATGTTTGGCTTTGTCCTAGTGCGTTGCTCAGATCAGGCTTGGCCTCAGAAGGATTCACAGCCAGATGTCCAAATATACTCAAGATTGGGCTCGGCAACCTTGAGGAAAATCTAAAGATAATGTTCGTTTAGATCTAGTCCGATGGCAGTTACTGTGACTGTGGTATGTGTGTCTCAGTTGTTTTTGGCGCGGTCGCACATTTATATCTAGTTTCAGGAGGCTGGCAAATCTAGCGCCTGGCATTTGTCGGACGCTTTTTTTTCTAGTAATGTCATTACGCTGCGTTGAATCTGCAAGCAGAGCTTCACCAATGACAGCGCTGCCAGGATGATGATGGAGGACCCGCTCCAGAGGGCGTGGATATTGTAGGCACAACGGCGTCTTGCCCAGCGTTTTTCTCGAATCTCCTTGCCGTAGCTTTTCTGATGGTTGAGCGGTGTGACTGCTGGACAGGGGCTGAAGCGCAGGGTAATGAAGACAGAGGCCGAAGGCAGGGGACATACAAGCTTTGCTACAACACGACACGTCGCTCGCGTCATGCATCTCTTCTCGCAACCCCGACAGCAGCGAAGCCAAACACATCTCTGGTATTAGAATTTACGGGTCTGAGTCAGTCGGGGAGCAGTTCAACGTTGATGCAGGTCGGCACCGCACCGCTCGGTTTCACTGTCGCGCTCTCGCTCGGACTCACGATCCATGGAGTCGCTACCTGAGAAACTGTGAGATGTTCTGCTTGGGCTTCTCACTGGTTGTTGGGAAAAGGATGCCTAGAAAAGAGCTGAAGCCTCTAGAGAAGTTTCAAGTCCGCAGCTTGTCTGCCAAACCATAATTTTCACTTCACATTCACTAACGGCCTTACCAAGCTGTAGATTTGCAACTGTGGCTACGGATCTGAGACTTCAGCTGTCACCCAGCTTGGCTTACAACCGTAGAGTGTTCGCAACAAAGAAGGGGATGTTTTTG